CCGCAACCCCGCAAATGTAGACATACATGTATAGCTAATTTTAATTGCCTCCACTATTTGCCATGGCCTTTTATCTGCTTGCATGTCACATTTGCGCACGTGCAGCATCAACAGCACGGATAATAAGCACCTGTGGGCATTTCCGTCCGTGGAAAGACTGAACAAACTTAGTGAAATCCATGCCAAACACACACGCACAAAGGTCAGAAGAAGAAAGTGGTAGAAAACTGTAAGAATTATTCTAATGACAATATCCTTGTGTATGCGCAATTAGGGTACAAAAGAGAAAAGAAGGTGTGTTGCATGTACGTTGATCCAATTTGGAGTGTAGGGCGCTCCATCATGTCGGTCAGATCATCGGTGGGGAAGGCAGTGATGGGGGCAACAGCGGAAGCGGGACGTGGCAGTGCTGACATCGAGTGAGGGGAAGCGAGACGACATACGAAGGTGATAGTTTCGAGGCAGAGATCGACGATTGAGAGTAGGAGGGGCATCGGCATCTTCACCGACACTCGATCACTCCGACCCCACCCTTGGTCCGCGCATAAGGGAGGTTCCTAGCTTTACTTAAACAACTCATCCGGTTTCGTGGTGCACTATGCGTATACTTTCGTAGTCACTTTTCCTGTTTGAGATCAAATATTTCCCGGCCATAGTTTGGAGTTCATTTTTTCAAAATCGCGAACACTTAAGTGTTTCATATTTTTCGGCATCTGACGTAACTTTCTTAAGTAATCGACTCGCAAGTTTTTTTGTAGTTGTATTTAAAGGGCTAAAGTCAGAGCCCTTTGTGACCGTATTTACTTACAATGCTTTCGCATATTCACACTAAAAATAAAATTGCAAACTTTGAAAATGCATTTGATTTACAATACAACATTTTGGCAGCTAGATGATGGCCCCAATTCCTTCATTTCTACCAAGTTTTAAGGTACGTAGCAAAAGTGGTATACCTATGTTTAGATTTATTAAGAACATAAACACTAGAAAAGTCAGGATTGCAGAATATATCCTATTTCTCTTTATGTCTTTGAACTCTTTGAAACCACAATTGATTCAAAAAGCCCCGGGTCTTCTAACTTGATTTTGTAGAGAACAGGCTCTACACCTACGGTGCTTTACTTTTACGATTCAACATAATTGCTTAAGTCGATGCTTCTCGTTTTTTTTCGAGCAATTTTTCTAACTGGCCTGATTCTTTCTTACGGCCGTCAGGAAGTTTTTAGGATGAGCGTTTATGTATCCACTAGGATCGCCCTCTTTGGACCATTCACAAATTTCTCCCTTTGCACACAGTACTAATTGTGTGTGCAATAGCCCGCCAAGCGTTAAAAAGACACTGCTCACCCATTAATTTTTAGGAATTAACTCCCCTTCCAGATTCATCTTTTCGGACTCAACGTTGTTTTTTACGCATTTTTTGAGTTAATAGCTCTTCAAAATGCTTCCGTAGGCATCTTAATCCCCCACAACAGCATAGACGACTCTGGCTTGTTGTTGCTTCGGAACTGCCCGATTGAGCAATCTGCTGTTGGAAGTCGGACTTACAATAAACCATCGCTATTCCTTAGCTTTTGTAAAACCAAAAAATCGAGAAATCTCTTGAGACTACTTTTGGTCCAAATGTTTACTAAAGCATTTCGTTCTCGTTTTCTTTATTCACCTAAAGTCTTAGCAAACCGCGTCTTTGTGAACATGGAGCAACCAATGAATATACCTGCGTATACTGACGAGGAGTTGCTCAGCAATTGTCCCCCTGTAGAGATACCTCCACCGGAGATCCCAGTTCACTTAGGGGACAACAGCGGTTCACGTTTGCTGATATCCAAGATCGTATGTGAAAATTTCAAGTCATATGGTGGAAAACGCATCTTGGGCCCCTTTCACAAGAATTTTACCTGCATAATCGGTAAACTAGTTATCGCCTTTAATATCTTATGCTCTCTCCAGGTCCAAATGGCAGCGGAAAAAGCAATGTAATTGACGCCCTTCTTTTTGTGTTTGGCTTCCGGGCCTCAAAAGTGCGATCAAAAAAGCTCAGCAGTTTGATCCATAACAGCGACCGGCTCCCGAGCGTCGACTTTTGTCAAGTGTCCGTCTACTTCCAGCGCATAATCGACACAGGCCAGGGGGTCAGCGATTACGAGGTATGTCTGACCACGATGGCTGGATTGAGTTTTTCTACACTCCATTGATTGACTAGTTCAAATTTTTAGGAGTTCTTGATCAAATCTTCCTTCGGACCTCCAGGGTTAGGACACATTTTCGACGCAGCCGTGTTTTCTCTGTTGTTGGAGCAGTCCCAGCGACTGTCTTTCATAAATATGCGGACTCTGTTCGAAAAAGCCAACCGACTGACCCTGAGAGTAAAAGAAATGAAGTTTGTATTTTTTAAAGAATCACCTCACTGTCTGGTCATGATATACTGACCCTGCGTAGGATGTACTCACCTCCTATATCATGAAGATAACTTCCGTCACCTTCCACAATTTCAGCGTCTGCATCTCCATATCTCATTCTATAGCGTTTTTGTTCATGCCCTTCTTTTGTTATTGAAAATTTTGACGGTTTTTTGAAGTCGTCATCAGTCCTGTAAACCCTTCTTCTATGCCCTTTTGTCTCCGCTAGACAATTTAGGTAGACCAAGATTTTGCTTCAGAAAATAAAGCAAAATGTGTTCATTCCAATGTTCTTCCCTAGTCTCTGATTCTTGACTCAGTTTGCAAAATTGGGCTGCACTATTTGGTAGTTTAAAACCGAACCTGCCACCGCCAGTGTCAATTTGTATTGTTTTTTGGACAAATTCATGTGTGCTTGTGATTTCTCGCCTAAGAATATTACGTCATGGCCCAAAATGTTAGAATGAACGTTTACGCCGTCCGTAAAAAACAACCAGGAAGACAATTGTACGGTTGTTAGATTCTCGAATTAGTGTCTTAAAACGAGCGTGCGTTTTTCTCATTGTTATTACTTATTCTTAGCCGCTCCCGCTCGGAGCAAACGTTTTGTTGCCTCAGCACTTATTAAACGAGAATCTGCTCCTTAATGTGCTTTAGGTGGTTGCGGGAAGCGAGTTTGTGGTCTCTCGCAAGGCCTTCAAGGACAACTCCAACGCCTACTACATTAATGAAAGCCGTGCTGGTTTCCGTGACGTGACCAGCCTTTTACGGCAACATGGAATCGACCTTGACCACAATCGTTTTCTTATACTCCAGGGTGAGGTGGAACAGATCTCCTTAATGAAGCCAAAGGCGGCCACCGAATATGAAACCGGGTTTCTTGAGTATCTCGAGGTAGATAAAGCGAATTACTCCCTGTTCCCTATTATTTTTGTCATAAAGATGGTATCTGTTTTTCACCCTCTCTTCCTCTGTACCGAAAACGCAGGACATCATCGGATCGAGTCGTTTTAAAAAACCACTGGCTATCCTCGCGGACAGAATTGAACGCCTCAAGGACATCCGATTGGAAAAACTGGCGCGTGTCAAAGCCGTAGAGAAGGAGAAGAATGAACTGGAAGTGGTTCGCGATGAGGCCATGACTTATCTCCGTCTCATGAACAAGGTCATTCGCGTGAAGAATGTCATATTTCAGCAGAACCAGAAACGTGAACTAAAGCACGAGACTGAACTAAAGCAGCAACTTACCGGCGTAGACGCCGAACTGGAGGTTAGTCACTCAGTTTCCCCAGATTGCCTTTCGGACGCCAACCCGCATATTCTAACTGGACTGTTGCATCTATGCACTAGCATCCGTCAAGCGAGCGTTGTACTATTACGTCTTTTTCTCATGCTGTCGGCATGCAGGTTTTGACCGCCCGTCTGAAAGAGCTGAATTCTCAACTCGCGACTCTCAGGACCGACCGAGAAGCTCAGAATCGCCAGGCGTCCAGTTTGCAGGAGCGCCATCGCGACGCCAAGGAGCGCTTCGCCCGCTTCGAGGCAGAGGACAGCCGAGTACGTGACGAGCATGCTCATCTCAAGAGCCAGGGCAAGAAGACTCTAAAGGCACTGCAGGCGGAGCGCAAAAAGTTGGAGGAAATTCGAAGCCTGCCGGGCGAGGCCGAGGGGCGTCGAAATGCGCTACAGAAGCAGCTGGACGAACTGGAGCAGGCCAAGGCATTGCACGAGACCACCTACAAAGAGACGATGGCTATCCTTGCACAGGAGACAGAACCCCTGCGTAAGAAAGTGGAAGCTGCCGAGGCGGCCCTGGCGCCAATTCAGAAGGTGGCCGATGAGGCCGCCAGTCGACTGGCTTTGGCTCAACAAGAGCTCGATCTGGCCATGTCCGCCTACCGTCGCGAAGAGGAGCGCGTGGCCAAAGCACGTGAGGGTGCTGCCGCCGCGAGGGACCGGTTGGCTGAGCGGGAGAAACAGGTGCTGCAGACGGAGCGGCAGTTAGAGCGTCGATCGACTTCCTCCGCCGATGCCGGCCGTCGTCGTTCCACTACTGGTAGCGCTGACGCCTGCCTGAGAGAGGCCCTACAGACCTCCAGCACAGAGCTTACCGAGGTGCGGGCAAAGGAGGCAGCTCTGGTGGAGGAAGTCGGCAAACTTCGCTCAACCCTCTCGGAGGCTAAGTCCTCTTTTCAGGCAAGACAAAGCACTTTCCTTAAGATTATTATATAAAGAGATCTTTTTTTGATCGTTGATTATATACTGATCTGTCCTGCACGGACCCGGTGTGTATGTGTGGCACGCTTAGTTGACGTGTTTAGTTATGTCTTAGTAACACTGTCTTGACAGCAGGCTCAGATGAGGTGAACGCGGGCCAAGTTTTCTATCATTGTAAAATAGTTCATGTGCAAGTTACCGTTCCTGCACACAGCATCCTGTGAGGCACGGAGTGGACATCATGGGTAGCGACGGTATTCTTCTTCATCTTTTTCTCTCCCCCCTCCCCCCCCCTCCTCATCATCATAGTCGTCGTCTTTCTTTGCCCGTTTTCTTCCTTTCGTTTTCTCAATTTTTTTTATCTTCCTCGTTTTTCCCCCTTCCCTATTCCTCCCCTCCTCCCTCCCTCTCCTTCCTTCCGTCGTCGTCGTCGTCGTCGTCGTCGTCGTCGTCGTCGTCGTCGTCGTCGTCGTCGTCGTCGTCGTCCTCCTCCTCCTCCTCCTCCTCCTCCTCCTCCTCCTCGTCCTCCTCCTCGTCCTCCTTGTCCTCCTCCTCGTCCTCCTCGTCCTCCTCCTCCTCCCCCTCCTCCTCCTCCTCCTCCTCCTTCTTATTCCCTTTTTTCTTCATCTTTAAATTTCCATTCCAATCCTTCCCCGTTTTCCTCCTTCCATTTTCTCATTTCTTCTTCTCTTCCTCTTCTTCTTTGTCTTCACCTTCTGTCTACATGGCCCCCCATCCTCGTCATCCGACGTCAGCTACTCCTTCCGTTCCTTACGAAAACGCGACACCAAATGCCGGTAGTGCAGGAGTCACCTGGCCCACTTTGCGCTCTGCCACGCTGATTGATTGCAGCCCTTTTGAAGGGTCGGACATTTGCAACAATAAATTTCCGTTTTATACACTGACCTTGTTCGCCTCCGCAAACCGCCTTCCACAGGCTGACAACTCACGAAGTCGCGTCCTCTCCTCCCTCCTGACTGCCGCCAAAGAGGGCAAATTGACGGGAATCCTCGGTCGCCTTGGTGACCTGGGTGTCATTCCGCAACGCTACGATGTGGCCGTTTCCACCGCATGCGGCGCACTGGATCACATTGTGGTTCAGACTATGGAGGAGGCGCAGAAGGCTGTGGAGTTCCTCAAATCCAACAACCTTGGCCAGGCCTCATTTATCGGTAAGTGTTGATGTTTAGGTCGCTTCAACGTTTTAAAAACAACAAAGACTGACGATTTCTGCGACTGGAGTGACACTGAGTCCATTCTCCAAGACCATATTTTTGTTCGCTTGCGTTCGACAAGTCATTCCCCCCCCACCATGAAGCAAGGGACATGAAAACCGAAGTAAGTTCGCCCCGAGCTCAACTTTGGTTCTCTAGGCGTCTCAGTAGCGGGATGAACCCGAGGGTGAGCATTTCTGTCCACATTCCGGTTTCAAGGCCCCAGAGTCTTCTCCGAGAGTGAGTGACATTCACCAGGTCGTTGTGGTCTTTGACGTATCGATCGGTGACCATACTGCTTGATTGGATGCGCAAACAAAGACACGCTGATAGAAGCGAACAGGCGAGTCCCAGGAAGCAGTTCAGAAGACGAAAGAGCGATTAGTGGAACAAGAACTCTACTCGCCTGACGTTTCGGATTCTCACTCAAACCCATCATCAGAGGCCGTCGCAGATAAGGGTAATGGTGACACAAGGAGTGCAGTGTTTATAGCGCGTGGCTGCCGTGGGACCATATGCCTGCTGAAATTAACAGCTCTCGCAATCACCGCTGGGGTCATAATTGATGCAATGGAGTAATCTTCCGGCTTCTCCGACGTAATGGCTTTGTCCGCAATTGCACCAGATCCGGTAAACGACTCCTGACATTTCCTGCCGTGGCAGTGGGTCTTTCGGCCGCATGACTTAGCGCCTGGTGGTTGCCTCTGGCCCATGTGCAATCCCGACTCCAAGTGGAGTGAGAAGACAATTGACGGATTCCGAGACGTTCTTCACGTACGGAAGAGCCCGCCAGAATTTGGGGTCGGTTGGATTTGGTCTCTGGTGTCGTTTACGTTTGCACTGGTTGACAAAGTTGCCTGGCAAGCCGTTGGCTCTCAGTACCCATCGAAGATATTGTAATTCAGCAACCTTTTCTCCCATTTCACTGCAGTGCGTCTCAACGCGCCCGTATAGCGCCCTTACGCAACTGCGCTTGTGACCGATCGGGTGGTTGCTGTTGAAGTTCAGTCGCTTTCCTGAACGCTGGACATGATCCACAAATGCGTTTTCGTTAGGTTCGAGAGTTTACTTATTTCATAGGTCCCCTCCACCTAAAGCCCCACTGCCTAGCAGCTAATATAGTGAGTATAGCACTAGAGAGTGAGGTAGATGCTTTACAAGTCACCACTTCCGTCCCAGAAGGCTTCCTTCGTTCTATAGGCTGAGCTCTGATGCTGTTTCCCGGAGGTCTGCGTTGCTGGTAAGCTGGGAAACTCGCTCAGCACGTTCCGCCAACACGCTGAAGTCGCCTTCGCTGTCTCGGTTTTCCGTTTTTGCCGCCGGAAGAGGAAGTGGGTCCAACTCGCCATATCCGCTGACGCAGGTTTTCGGACGTGCAGAAGCGCTAGACTGAGCGTCAGTGAGACCAGCGCTAGATCAGACATGGTTACTTTTGTATCATGCATGTCGTGTACCGGAAAACGGGCCGGAGAACAAAATATTTGGATAAGCTCTTGTGTCTTTAGTTTATGCCAGTATGCGCAAGGTGTGGGACAAAATTAGAGTTGCGACGTAAAAAAAGCAAAGGAAACAAGAGAGCGCCGAATGCGCGCCCTGATTTGCAGAGTCACTAGTCATGACAGTGGGACTACCCACCCCTCTCTCTCATCCCTCACCTGGGCCCGGTGTCAAGAAGATCATAGGCGAGAGAGAGAGGGCAGAGGTGGCTGGCACAGGAAGAGCCCGCACCTAGGCGTGCCACCACCACATCCCCTGGTCCACGACAAACGCTTGACCAACAACGAAGACGGGTCAGAAAGACGAGAGGATGGTACAATTCACTGGGCAGCCATGCACGCGAGAGCTATGCGGGAGCGCAAGCGCATCTACTGGCAGGGAACCAGGTGTCAGGGAACTGCCAAGCGCAGATCAGGCTGCAAGGACCATGGTTTGCTGAATTATTAGGGATCGATAGACAGACATACGCGGGAGTTGGCAAGAGCACGCCACAGGGGCGCGTTTACACGTTCGCCCTCGATGTGCAGGCCAGTTTTCCAACCAGGATAGCTACTGGACGACCTGTCTGTTAGAGAATGTGTTCAATTTTTGTTATACCCGCAACCTTTATATGGTTTCGGCTCGTCCGGATTGCCGACGACTGTGTTTGTAGTTTGGTTGATGAGTGGGTGTTACCGTGGTTGATGTCACGGTGTGTTATGGGGCAAACTCAACATGTGCCACCACAAGGGAAGGGAACAGTGTTAATATTCTCCAGATACTTCTTTATGCAATGCTGGTTTATTCACCTGAATAGACACACCCTAGGTGGAAAGTTGTCAGAAGGCAGTCTGAATAACTCAAATATTTTTTTGTAGTTCTATAAAATTAAACGGCAAGATTACCTAAGCGGAACGGAAAACTGATAAGTAGACATACGTTCGAGGTGGCCAGACGAGCAGTCTGACTAATGACACCCACTTGTGGTGATTCGTTCAAACACGAACGCGAACAAGGAGCTATCGGAATCGACGAATGAAAGTGCAGAAACAGGCGGAACGTGATTATGGTAAAGGCCATCCACTAATAAACATTTAGTAACAGATAAATTCACTTTGGCCCAACTGGGAAAAACTCAGTTCCTTGGTTGGATTCGAGCCCACGACAGCAAGGTGAAGGCTTTAGTACAGCCAAAGCTCTAACCATCTGAGCTACTAGGCCCCACCGGACTACGCGAGTTTATCACATTTGGGTCAAGTTTGCCCGCCCAACTTACTGCAACGTCTGGAATCCACCAAATCTGATACAGTAAGCTGACTGCTCAAACAGGATTTCCCAAGTACAATTGACTCAAAGTGGATTATTTGAAATCTGTCCTAACACCTATGAATTACGTGAGCCTAGTAGTCATCTGGCGGATTCTGGATGTATTACTCGGGAAATCCTGCTTGGGCAGTCAGCTTACTGTATCGGACTTGGTGGATTCCAGACGTTGCAGTAAGTTGGGCGGGCAAACTTGACCCAAATGTGATTAAACTCGAGTCGTCCGACGGGGCCTTGTAGCCCAGGCGGCTAGTGTTGGCTGTACTAAAGCCTTCACCTTGCTGTCGTGGGCTCGAATCCCACCGAGGTACCGACTTGAGGGATGTGCCATTAGATACAATTCTTTAAGAACAGCAAATTCACCATGCTCAGGATTTGTGGACTGTTGCATTTCTTATTGACGACCGAGATTATGTCGGTGTCCACTTCTTTACTACTGGACAGCCATATTACGACCTTGATTGTCTGTTGGAGTAAAGGGGGACAATGGGGGGTCATTTTTTGTGTTTGTTTGAGAGCGTCGGTTGATGCCTTCCGCTCAGATTTTCAGCGGGTTGTTAAGGCATTGTTGTAAGGCGGGTTGTAAGTGCGTTATCCAGCTCCTGCGAACCAGCGAGTACACAATCGGTGCCTCGGTGGGATTCGAATCCACGACGATAGGGGTAAGGTTTCAGTACAGCCAACGTTCTAGCCACCTAAGCAGCACATTTCGATTAAACTCGCGTCTTCCAGTGGGGCTTCGCACCTCCGATGGCTAGAACGTTGACTGCACTAAAGCCGTGCCCTTGCTCTTGTGGGTTTGAATCCCACAGAGGCGCCGAATTTTTCACATATGGATCAGTATGAATTATTCGAAATCTGCCAAAGCATCTATGAATCATGGTCCTTGCTGAGGCGACTGGGCAATCAGTCACGTGTACCGCGCATCCGTCCGGCCAGTCCTTCTGTACGGCTGTGAATGTTGGACTGTGCGTGTGATGTGATGTATTGGCCACCACTGTTTGAGGACCATTCCTCGAGTGAAGTACATTCTCAAATAAGACAGTCCTCACTCGCTGCGACAATATCGGAAGGATAAGCCTGGCCATTCATAAAAGAGGGCCGAGGTGGTTTGGACACGTTTTGTGCCGTACTTGCTTACTTTGTACGGCTGCGATCATGCCTGATCTAGCCGGCCTCGATGATGTCGCGAACTGTACACCTCTCCACGCGTGGTTATCCGCGGCAGCAGATCTGGACAGCTCAATCCATTCCCTTTGCCAACGACGTAGACCGAATACCGAAGGTCCAAGAACCACCTCCATGTCTTGACGAACTGTGTCGAGCCAGGCTTTGAATTGACGCCCTCTTCGACGCCTCCAATGGAGTAGCGGTGCCGGATCGAGGGCGGTAACATTGAGCTCCTGAGGCGGACGACGGAGAACATGCCCGAACCACCTCAGTCGTCTTTCTTGGATGGTCTGAGTTATCCTTACGGTGTTGTCGCAGCGAGCGCAGGCTGTCTCACTTGAGACGAAGTCGGTGAACTTCACTCTAACGATGGTCCTCAAGCAGTGGTGGTCAAATACCTCCAGTTTTCGCTCGTCCTCCACGCGCAAAGCCCAGCATTCACAACCGTAGAGAAGGACAGACCGGACAGATGCACGGTACACGCGAATCTTAGTGGTGTTGGAGAGGTCACGTCGGATCCATAGGCATTTCCGAGGGTCGTCTACCTCAGGAGCCAGCTGCGACAATATCGCAAGGATAAGCCAGGCCATTCAAGAAAGACGACTGAGGTGGTTTGGGCACGTTTTGTGTCGTCCACCTCAGGAGCCCAGTGTTACTGCCCTCGATCCTGCACCGCTATCCCATTGGAGGCGTCGAAGAGGGTGTTAACAATTAGTCAAGGCATGGAAGTGGTTCTTGGACCTTCGGTATTCGGTTTCCGTCGTTGGCGAAGTGCAGGAGTTGACATGTCCAGATCTGCTGTACATCGTCACGCGTGGAGAGGTACAGTTCGGGACATCCGCGAGGCCGGCCAGATCAGGCATGATCACAGCCGTAGCAAGTACAAGCTTAAGTACAAATTATATGTTCCTTCCAGATGCACACGTTAACTGGTTGCATTTTTTTAATTTTCCCAAAGGTCTGGACAAAATGAAGCGATGGGAGGTGGAGTCCGCTAAACCATTCAAGGGTCCGACCCCCTCGGCCCAACGACTTTTCGACTTGGTAGAGGTTTCCCAACCAGCAGTGAAGCCCTGTTTCTATTTTGGCCTCCGTAACACCCTGGTTGCTGAGACTTTGGACGTGGCTACTGACTGGGCCTTCAAACACCCCGTCCGATTTCGTGTGGTCACGTTGCAGGTGGGTTGTTCTATTTACTTTTTCATATTATCTGAATGCTGTCATGAAATCGGAAAATTCCTCGACGTTGAAAGTGTGACTTATCCAGTTGCTCTTTCTGCTTTCAGGGCCAACTGATTGAGACGTCCGGTGCCATGACCGGTGGCGGTGGCCGCCAACTCTCCGGCCGAATGACCACGGACGTGTCCAGAGCTAGGCAGGCTCGCCGTAGTATGTCCGAGTCAGTGCTTACTGAAGAGGGCCTGTCTGCGAAAGAGCGCCAACTGGCGAACAAGGAGGCCGAATTGGGGCAATTACGTAGTAAGCGTGAGTGGTTGGAGGAGAAGGTGACCCACCTGCAACGCCAGGTCGTAGACGCTGAGCGCAACATGGCCAAGTGGCAGGTTCGTTCTTGCAGCTTAACCAGATTTCGTCAGTGAACATATACAGCTACTTAATACGATTTGAGTAAGTATGTATTTGCCTTTGAACAGGCGGAGATTGTGCGCCTGCGAGAAGAGGCCGAGGCGTTGACACGTGAGGCTGAACAGGCTGAGAAGCGCGCCGCTAATGCCGGACCTTCCAAGGCAGAAAGGGAGAAATTGGAGGCTAACGTCGCCGCGCTGTCTAAAGAGAACGCAAAGAAGGCCGCTAAAGCAGAAAAACTGCGAGAAGAGGTAGACGAGCTGAAAACAAAACTCATGGAGGCCGGTACGGCACGCTTGGCTACAGTCCGCTCCCGAGTGGCACTTGTTGAAAAGAAAATTAAGGAGGTATTCACACTTTTTCCAAGAACGCATTTTTGAAGTACCCAAGCAATGCTTGTCACACCTTAAATTTGAATTCCTGATTCCTATCCAACATTCCTGTTTAGGTAGCCGACCAGTTCACAAAACTCGAGGTCGAGATAAAGACGGCTCACCGGAACGAAGCCAAAACCCAATCCAAGATTGAAACGTTAGAGAAGGAAGTCGAGTCTCTGAAGGAAAAACTCACAGAAAATGAGGCGCAGCTTGTGGAAATCGAAACAACTGCCAAGACCTGCATGACTGAGTTTCAAGCCATTCAGCAGGAGGTGCGTCCCGATATTCATAGTCATTTAAAGCAGCTACTTAATTGGTCTTAAGTAGGCAACATCATTAAACTTTATCTTATTTTGCAGATTACGGCACTGGGCGAGGAACGCGAGAAGATCAATGCACAGATCGGAGAAGTGGAAACTGGACTGGCAGCTGCGAAGAAGGACGAGGGCGTGGTCCAGCGTAAGGCTGAGGACATCCGTAGTCAGGCAAAGGAGGCAGCCGCCCGCGCCAGAGCCTGGCAAATGAAGCTGCGTGGTCTGCGACTTAACAAAGTCGATGATGATGATGATGAGGAGGAGGAAACGGCAGAGGCGGAATCAGCTGACACAGAAGGAGATCTTAGTCAGTCCCTAGTTTCTGGGGCAAACCAATCACAGGACACTTCACAGCATGACCCACTGTCCTTCCTCGGATCTTCCAAGGACACCAAACTGCCCACATATACCGACGAACAGTTGGCAGGTAAGGCTGTGAAATGCGCCTAAACGCAGGCTCATGTTCTTTATACTGCACATTTCAATAGCTGTTCAACCACACGGGCAATTCTGGTGTTATGGTTTGGTCGTCGACCGGAACTTTGAGCCCAGACTGATAAAGTATTACGAATTTTAAGGTTGGACATCTTTCCACTAGTTATAGTCAGTTTACGTCCTACAGTTTCCGTGATTTCGTTTAATCTGCCTTTGAAAAGAAAGGAGATAGTCATTGCGCGGTTGTCCTGTAGGACAGACTCGATGTGTCGCATTCGCTGATACAGTTCAAGCTTCTGTGGACTTCTGTTGGCAGTGTGTGCTCATCCGCAGCCCATGCACTTTCGGGAATGTTTGATTCCTGCCCTAATTCGGACAGTAGGGACCTGTTGCACGTTTATCCAGACAGAGGTTGCCTTTGTAACTGAATGACCACATGTTTACCAAAGACCACACCGTCTTCCGACTGATGCGGCTGATCGAAAATGCATAGTTTTCAATTTTTGTCCCCAGCTTGTGCTTCACTTCCACTTTTGTGAGACTGTTGATCCTTCTCCTTTTGTCCATGATCTGTTTCCTCTTTTTCCGCAGAAATGAACATTAATGAGGCGGAGTTGAAGAAACTCGAATCACAGATTGCGTCCATGTCGCCCAACATGGCTGCCATACAGCAGTATAGGAATAAAGTGGACCTCTACCTCAGTCGGGTGGCTGAACTCGATCATGTGACTGATCTGCGCAACGAGCAGCTTCGACAAGAGGCGGAAGCCAAGGGGACACGCCTGTCTGAATTCATGGCGGGTTTCAATGTGATCACCACCCGTCTGAAGGAGATGTACCAGCTATTGACGCAGGGTAAGTTTGTCGTCTCTCCCTCGATTGTTGTTTTTTATTTCTTCCAGTCGGTTACGACATGCACTCTTTCTGTTCTTTATTGCTCTTCTTCTTCGCATACCACCAGTGACGTCATCCGCCCCTGTAGTCCATTGTATCGCAAACCATATCGTATCGTTGGCAGATAGGCCGACACCAATTGCTGCCCATGTAACGTTCCGTTTTAGGGCAGCCTGCGTATTCGCGGGTGGATGTGTGAGGATCCGTACTCCAGGAAATAATGCGGTCAGATGGTTTAAAAATTTACTTAAGTTCGTCGGTGGGGAATGAATCATTCGTCGAGCTTACTGTCGACTTGTTACGAGTTGGTAATTCACGGCCGTTGGTTAGTCGGTATTGGAGATGACAGTGCACCGCGCGGTGATTAAGTGGACGGTCCACTTGACGAGTCCGGAGTGCGGGCCCATAGTATCTGCATTTGTGACGACACATTGCCAGTAGCTGGTGATCTCGATTGACGGCACAGTGGAAGTTATAATATGCCCCCGAGGCACGAGTCATTGCTTACGTCGACCCTTCGAAGATCAGCTGTCCGCCAAGGCCACCTTCCGGAGTTATAGAGAAGGGTGACTCTGACTGCAGTCACTTACACTGAAGTGATTATCTGCTCCTTAACGTACTATGCGACATCGGGGCTCATGCAGAGGTTACAGAATCATTCTCCGTGAAAGCTCCACGCAAAGTATGGGATAGGCAAACTTCACATAACATAACTTGCCTACCTAAATCAAATAAGTAGGCATAGCATGCAACCTAAATATAGATCAGCATATCCAGAGTCATGGTTCAGAACGCCCGCACAGTCCAATCCACGAACAGGGTCTTTTAAAAACACGATGGGAAAGGGGAGAGTCAGGCTACCGCGGAAAACGCGTACCAATCAGGGGACTGGGATTACCAGGTTTTCCCTCCGCTCGCAGGGTAGCAACATTGTGTCCTGGTTGTTTGTACATGAACAAGTACTGAGAAGTCAACTGCTGTAGAGAGTTTCTTTACTTTGTCAAGTGCTCAACTGGCCTGACCTTTACATTCACACACGAATGCGTAAATTTGGATCATTAAAGGCAATTTGAAGTAGTAAGCATTCATTCCTAAATCGTGTTTCTGGCAGGAGATTAATGTGGCGGTTTAAGCTTCCACAAAACAGTCCTCACGCAAGATTACGTCTAGATTTCAACCAGCGAAATATTGTGGATCTAAAGAACTGAGCCGATTTGCTTCTTACGCCCTGTAAGCCTCAGCTTCACGGCTGCAGCTGGGCGTACTAGGTTTTGTCACCAGCCTGAAGGCCCGGCCTGCTCGTGTTGGCTTTGAGTAGGCAGCCACTTGCACAGGGTACACCTATTGCATTTCGGCAACTGCACACGCGCAACTGATGTTGTTGTGACTTTCTTACGCCATTGAACGGAGACAGATCTCCTTGTTAGATTTCACTTCAGTATGATCCCTCCCAACATCTCCCCTGTGCCAACCCGTCCCCTTTCTGTTCCTTCAGGTGGCGACGCAGAGCTAGAGCTCATTGACTCGCTGGATCCCTTCTCTGAGGGCATAGTTTTCAGCGTGCGGCCACCAAAGAAGACCTGGAAGAGCATCGCCAATCTCTCGGGTGGAGAGAAGACTCTTTCCAGCCTGGCCCTCGTCTTTGCCCTGCATCACTTCAAGCCAACACCCCTTTACGTGATGGATGAGATTGATGCAGCCCTGGACTTCAAGAATGTCTCCATTGTGGGCAATTACGTGATGGAACGCACCAAGGATGCTCAGTTTGTTATCATCTCTCTGCGCAACAATATGTTCGAGCTGGCCGATCGTCTGGTCGGAATCTACAAGACGCACAACATTACAAAGGCCATATCTGTGGACTGCCACGTGCTGGCTCAGCGGCTGAACCAAGCGGTGAGCAAGGTGCGTGGTCACCAGTCGAAACAGCAGCAGCAGCAACAGCAGCAGCAGCGGTGGCCGCTGGCAGCGACGTCAGCATCCTTGCCACCGCCACCTACTACTGTTGGCGTGCCGGGTGACTCGCTTGCTGCGACAGACGGCGCAGCTATCGCTGCGACCACTGATGCCCCCATTTTCTTGGGTCCTCGGGGAGACGTCGCCAACTCGGAAGCAGAGAACGAACCACCGAACGAGAATGAGGCGCAACTCCCCGGAACCGCTGAAGACGAGGGCGTCGATTCAGACACCCCGATTGTTGAACTCTATTAGCGCGCAGACCAGGCAAGTAGAAAGTGTTTAGCTTGGTTCAGTTCACCTTATTCTAGCAAAATGTAGGTGTCGCACCTTTGAATTCCCTGTTTGTTACAAGCAGCGAAACTATGTCAGAACGTTGGGAACGGAAACAAAAACAACTGCAGATTATCGGAACTGTACAGATAAATGAACTATTTTCTGAGGCGAACACAGATACAACCAAGAACATTGTACAGTAGCCTGTTTATGTGCAATTATGCTAGGAAAAGTTCGGTCTTATTCGTCTGCAGACGCCAGTGAATTTCGGCATGTGTGTCTATATATTTAAAATAAAAACGTTACTGAAATATGGTCAGTAGCAGTATAATATCCATCATTGTCGGCGGGTCGCCTCTTAGCTGTCTGTAACTCCGAGAGAAGAGATCGAGTTTGAGTAACCGTGTTTCGTAGGGTCATGAGCCCCACCCACTGCAAGTTTCTTGCACACCTTTGAACTTTTTGAGGATGCTAATGTCTTTAGGGATCCAGGGTTTTCGTGCTTGAAATGACGAACTCCCATTGTGACCGCAATCATCATTAACAAGGCAAAAATCAGTCCTGTGACCATTTCTCGAGTCGATTCAGGTTTGCTTGCAAGCGCTCTTCGTCAAATTCATTTCGGATGACGCTCCAGGGCTCGACATCATCAGCAAACATGGCGACATAATCCAGCTCATTGACGTAGTCCTCAAACTATATAATGAACTAGATAGGACCAAAAACGTTGGCTTGAGGAACACCGCCTTCAAGCGCTATCACCACCAACTGCACGTCATCGACATGGACAACTCTACGGCCGCCCATTCAATAACTTCGAAACCATCTCGGAAGATTACCCCTAACGCCTTTTCTGCTGAGTCTGCACAGGAGTCGCTGATGAGATACCCTGTCGAATGCCATCTTAGAGTCGATATAGATTGCATGGACCACATCCCCCCATCAACCGCCAGGTTCCAGCGTCCCAGACTGTACAATGGGTTCGTTACACGTGATCTGCCCATACGGAATCCAGC